GTAATTACGAATAATGCTGTTGTGAACATACATGTACGGGGGATTTTTTGGACATATGTCTTCATTTTTCTTGGGTATATACCTAAGAGTGGAATGTTTGTATCATATAGTAACTCTAACTTTTTGAGGAAGTATAAAACTTATTCAAAGCAACTGTACCATTTTACATTGCTACCAGCAGTGTATGAGGGTTCCAGTTTCTCCACATCCTCCCCAACAGTTGTTATCTCTCTTTTTGATTATAGCTTTGCTAGTGGGTATGAAGTGGTATTTCATTATGATTTGATTTGCATTGGAATCATATATTTTTATGCTGTAGCTTTAAGTTGCTTTTTTAGTTATACTAATTGCCTTTGATTGTTCCAGATTGCTTGTGTATGTGTTTCTTAAAATGGAGTTTTTAGGAGAACACATATGTATAGGTAGGCAGGTAAAGTGGTTTAGAGTTCATATCCAATTTTTGTTAATATTTCGCTTCAACTACTATTTATCTTGATACATTGCAGGGTGGTGGCCTTGTCCATGTCACCTGTGGATGACACTTTCATTTCTGGGTCTCTTGATAAGACCATTCGGCTCTGGGATCTCCGGTCTCCTAACTGCCAGGTAATGTTACCTCACAGTTACACTTTAAGCGTTTTCAACTCTCCCTCTCAAGGAAGGGGGGAAGCAGTGATTCTTTTCTGGGATCCCAGAGTCTTTAAATTTTGGAGAAGATCTTTTCCTGGTAGGTAGCTGGTAATTAAGCTAATACCTTAATCCAGTGCATACTTATTATGATCTGTGGCTTAGTGCTTTAAAAGCAGTTTTCCTGGAGCCTTTGAGCTATATATTTTAGACTCCAGGGATTTGTTTTTATTTGAATTCAGTGTCTATAAAATTATACAGTTAGGGTTGATCTGAAATCAATTGCATGGAGACCTGGTTTTTTTTAACTTCATTTTAGTTAGTTTTGTGTTTGCTATTGGTAGGATCCTGGGTTCATTAACTTTTTTTTAATTTCTTTTTTCTCAGGGTCTCATGCATTTACAGGGCAAGCCAGTTTGCTCTTTTGATCCAGAAGGATTAATTTTTGCTGCAGGTGTCAATTCTGAAATGGTCAAACTTTATGATCTTCGCTCTTTTGATAAGGTAAATCTTTGAATCTTTGAACCGCCTTGATATTATGGAAGTTTTGAAGGGTGAGATGGACATTTAAGAGCCTTTTTCTACAGTAGAGGAGGTATGTGGTAGATATTAGAAAGTGTCAGAGCAGTACTTCATCTGCTGCTTTCCCTAGTCAAAAAGGAATCTAAAGGGATAGAATGAGATTTGGCTCTGGCAGAAGAAATTATTGATGTGCCTTGGGGCTAGGGCTGCTGTCTGTCTTTTGCAGGGGCCATTTGCGACATTTAAGATGCAGTATGATCGGACTTGTGAGTGGACAGGGCTTAAGTTCAGCAATGATGGCAAACTCATCCTCATCTCCACCAATGGCAGCTTCATCCGTCTGATCGATGCATTCAAGGGAGTGGTGATGCATACGTTTGGGGTGAGCTGACAACTTTTAAGCATGTTTTTTTTCCCATGCTCTACCTTTTTTCCATGCTCATCCCTTCTGAGAATTGTGTTAGCTAGTTGGTGGAGACCGGCAGTTGTCCTTGGCTCACTCGTCAAGGCATGGACTTGCATTTTCTTCCTGCACATGGCATTATTTCTTTTGGATTCTGAGACATTCACTTCTCACCCAGTGACTCAAGTTTGGTGTTTAGATAATATAATAAACTTCTGACCATAAACATTTTCTTGCCCCCTTGAATATGGAGTTGGGGATAAGGGGGTGAATTGTAAAGGGTGGTAGCCGAATTTGAAACCTTGGTAGCACTGTGCATGAGAAAGAAAGGGTTTCACAGAAAGGAAGGTGATGTATGTACTACAACATGGATGAACCTTGAAAACATTATGCTAAGTGAAATAAGCCAGACACAAAAGGACAACTGTTGTGCGATTCCACTTATATTAATTTCCTAGAATAGAGATAGTTAGTAGAACAGAGATTGCCAGGGAGCAGGGGAAGAGGGAAATGGGGAGTTACTATTAAAGATTATGAAGTTTCTGTTCGGAATGAAGAGGTTTTGGAGGCAGAAGATGGTAATGGTTGCATAGCATTTTAAGTATACTTAGTGCCACTGAACTGTACACTTAAAAATACTTAAAATAGTAAATTGTTATCTATATTTTACTGTAAAAATTTTTTTTAAATCAAATAAAAGAAGAAGATGTATGTGCTGGGGTCAGTGTTTGTAGGCCATTATTTTTTGTTAATGGCACTGTAATGAGAATTGTTCTGCTTGTTTTAGGGTTATGCCAACAGCAAAGCCGTCACACTGGAGGCCTCGTTTACTCCAGACTCGCAGTTTATTATGATTGGTAAGCTTCCTTTATCGCCCCCACCTTGGGTGTTACTTATCTGGTACTGTGCATTATGTTATTTCTGTTAGTTTTAACTAATTTAAGATATTATTTATTATCCTTTTGAGATAGAGTTTCTCAGATTTCTGTGTAGCACATTATGTCAAAGGTATAGTGTCTTTAAACTGTCCTGACTTTGCTTTCTTTTCTGGGAACGGGCGTTAATGTTGGTCTTCCCTGGACCATCATAGAGTTAAACTCTACAAGCACTGGTGTAACCCTTCATTCAGTCACCTTAGTGTAGATGTTCGTAGGGTGATCGTATTCAGCCCCCTTTTTAAATGAGAAAACTGAAGTTAGAGGGGAACTGACTTGCCTAGGAACAAATAACTAGGGTCTAGATCAGTTCCCAAAGTGTCTTTTCTTCACTGCCATTACTCCCTCTCCATTTCTGCTGGTGGCTGGGTCCTGAAGCTTGGCCCCTCTCCAGATGTCAATCCATGTCTGTTTGCCACTTGTCTTTGTATTGTGCCTTGAGCTGTTGTTATATTCCTTGATCATTCTCTTCAGGTTCAGAGGACGGCAAGATCCATGTCTGGAATGGAGAGAGTGGTATAAAAGTAGCTGTGTTGGATGGTAAACACACAGGCCCCATTACCTGTTTGCAGTTCAACCCCAAGTTCATGACCTTTGCCAGTGCTTGTTCCAACATGGTATGTGAACAACGGGAGATGTTCTTCATCTAGGGGCCCTTTCCAGTTGGGGTGGTGGGTCCTTCAGTGAGCACAGTGAGCTGTGTTCTAAATAGGTACAATTATAAGCACCCAAGTTCGTGTTTTTCAGCTGGTGGCTTCCCTATTTCACCTCTATTATCTGATCTTTGGTTGGGCTGGTCTTTCACTTTTGCTCTTCTTTCCATGACCTGGGATCGCGAGCTCCCAGGAGATCTTAGGCCAGTTTTTGCTCTGGCTCCTGGTTTTATGCCCAAACTACCTGGGGCTATGCCTCACAGCTTTTTGGCTTCTTAAAGTACTTTGAACCAGCCTTTTGTGCTGTAATCTTTCAGTTTTCCATTCTTCTCAGGTTATGCTGAGTTCATCAGAAATTCTTACAGTTGATCACAACTCACCACTTAGAGTTTTCTCCAGGCCCCTGTCTCTTCCTAGACAACACTAGCAGAACAAAACATCAGTGAGTCTCAGCCTCCAGTTTCCTCTTGGCATCTCCTAAACCTACCTGGGTATTTGGGTATGAGGCATTTCATTACTAGCCTACCCAGAACACATTGCTCCATTTCTTTTTTTGTTTGTTTTTTAAACAAAGAAAACAGTGTCAGAAAAAAATGCAGCAAAACCATCCAGTCCAGTCCCTCACATTTTTTACAGCTCATGAATGAGAGGGTCTGTCTGAGGTCACCTGGTAGATTAGCTGTGAGGCCAAACACCCACCTCCCCAGACAGCACTTCTTCTTTTCTTTACCACTGGACCACTATGGTGGAAGTTAGACAATGTTTATTTTCACATAGATGGGGGAGTGTTTGTCCACAGATTGCCAGAGTCAACTGGTCAGGAGGGAAGGCCACCAGCCATAACTCCTCCAACTTTGGGGTTGGGTGCCTTGATGGTTGGGGAGGGGTAAGAAAAACCCTCAGAAATGAGGAGAGGGGCTTGGCTTTTTAAAGTTGACTTATGTTCTCCTTCCATCCAGGCCTTCTGGTTGCCCACCATTGATGACTGACCTGCATAGTGCTTGGCTGTTTTCTGTACAGCGAGGGTGGCCAGTAGGAAAAAACTCAGAGGGAACTAAGATAATAGTGAGATTGGATCATTTGACTGGGCTGGAGAGCATCTTTCCACATGGCCTTCCCAAGGATTTGCTGTACATTTGCTCAAAAGAAAAAAATTACTTTGCCAAGCTTCTTCAAAAGGACTCTTGGTGCGGCAGATTCAATCGAGACTCAGATTTTCCAGCTGTCACTGCACCGAGCTCCTCCAGAGGAGTGACCAGACTCGTGACTAGGGTATAGTGGGGCCCTCAAGACACCTTCAGTTTTGAATGTATTTGCTGCTGAGGAGTTGGTGAAGTTGTTAATTCTGCACATCCCTTTGCCCACCCCCATAAATGCGTGGGAAGCCACAGTTCTGGTTTTGAGATGCTGGGGCAGCTCAGTGCCCCTTGCCCTCACCCTGCATGTCTTGTTACTGGTTCTCCCTGTGTCATTGTGGCATTATCCACAACCATCATGTTACGTAGGTGCCAAATATTTACAGAAATAAGTCTCCATATATCTTAGGGTCAGAAATGGACAGATACAGAAGGACCTTGCTTGCCAGGAAGCCTTGCAAGTTAGTCATGTGAGGGTGGATGGTCTGGGTGTGCCTCAGGCTCTGGGTGAGGGAGGAGGGGTAGCAGATGAGTTCCTAGGGCTGGGAGGTTTAGCAGCAGCTTGGTGTGGTGCCCTGTCATCAAAACTAACACACAGTCCTTCTGGGTGCCTGCCAAGTTTGGTTGTATACAGAAGCAAGGTGGGCGTCTATTTTTGTACATGAGATACATCACGCTTTTCTGTGGGCCAGTATTGTGGAGTGAGTCTGAGTTGTTTACACTGATGCCTTCCCTGCCCACTACAAGTTGTGTACATAGTCTCCAGATGATACCACCCCTTCCCCAGCTCCCAACCAGGATCTGGCTCTAGGCTTGTGTTATATGTTATATTCAGCCTTTTTATATATGATTTGGGATTTCTGTTGTTTGTATTTTAGCACAGTGTGTGTACACCTTCATTTATATATATCATGTGTGTGCATACATATATACATATATGTATGTATGCATATGTGTGTGTGTGTGTGTGTGTGTGTGTGTGTGTGTGTGTATATATATATATATATATATATATATATATATATATAAAAAGTATCTGAAGGAGATGGAGTCCTCTGCCCCAGGAGAAAGACTGCATTCTTGCTAATAGTGTTTGTCACAAGTGTTAGTCTTCCCTATTACCTTTTTCCCTTTGGGAGACTGAACAAAAGCAAAGCTTTTGAGTGTTTGCTGTCCCCATGGCAGCTAAATGAGGGTCTTAGAATGACTCCCTTGTGTTCCTCAAGCCGCACTTTGGGGCCTTCTCTGCAGTATTAGCCCCCTTTTTGCCCAGTGATGCTCTGTCTGCGCCTGTATGTGACAGTGACTTTTGCATGCCTTTTGTGTCTGGCTCCCAGCATTTGGGGACAGGATGCTGGAACCAGAGCATTTTCAGCTTGTCTGAGGCTTCTTTGCCAATTATAGGTCACTCCTGTTTACCTGGTATGTCTGCTTTCTTAACTTCTTTTCCTTGCCTTCTCCTTGGAGAGGGAGGATTCCTGATCGGGGTTGAGGTGAGCTGCACGTAGCTCATTGCCTTTTCCCCTGCATGGCCTTCTTAGAGCAGGACAAGTGGCATATTATTTCACTAAGTTCCCAAACATCTAAGCAAGTAACACATTCCCTGCAGATCCAGAAACACTCAACAAGGGGTTATGTTTGACTTGCCCAAGAGTACCTAGCTGCTAGTGGGGAAAGCAAGCCATTACTGCCTCTGTCAGGAATAGGCTGTGAATTGCTAGCAATTACTGTTTTGTTTTGCTTTTTTAGCAGTTACTTTTTGGCTTGTTCTGTAACCTTAAAAGCAAGGGGCATACGTCTTTCCCAGACATAGGCTGGAATCTGCAGCTTCTGAGGTGCCACACACCATATAGCTCTGCACTCTCAGCGTGGAGGGACTTTTAGAAACCAAGTGATCTGAGCTGTTACTGCCCACCCCTGGCTTTCCAGGATAGAAAATTCATGGTAGGAATAACTGTTCAGAGAAAGTACTTGGAACTACAGGTTAATAAGAAAGCCTGCATAATTAACATACCCAGAGAAGCCACCAAGCATGACTTGTCTATCGGCAGGAAAATGATTTGTATTGAGTTCCTGTGTGTCCAAAGCTGAGGCACCATGTCCTCTGAAAATATGCACCGCACTGCTTCTGTTTATGGGGACCTGTGGCTGCAGAGCTGGCTCCTGAGTTGGGAAGGAGAGGGAAAGATGCAGCTGGAAGTGACTGAAGATGATGTGGTAGTGGGAAAAGGCAGAATTAAGGGAGAAAAGAGTCTGTGGGTCAGAGAGGCTGAGGAGCACCAGGGCTGCCAGGACACCCTCAGTAGGAGCCAGAGGTGCTTAAGCTCTCCTGGGGGTGGGGGGCGCACCACGCTCTCAAGAGTCGGGGCCAAAGCCTCTGATTTATATGTGACAGTGACATTGCACTGCTCAACCACCAGCCAGTGGGGTATTTTTTTTTTTTTTTAAGAAAACCGTTGCAATCATAATTAATGCTTATTAAGAAAAATCTGAGACTTTTAAAAAGAATCAGTTTGCCACCAAAATGTCACCACTGCTAATCTTTTGGTGTTTAGTGTTCCTCTAGACATTTCTGTGCATAGATTTTTGGTGTGTTTACATAGTTGTTATTCTACTGTATATACAATTTTATGTCCTTTTTGTACTTAACATATAAACGTTTTTTCCATGTTATCTGTCTTAAACAGAATTTTATGGCTGCAGCCTCTTCCATTGAGTTTTCATAGCATTGTTTGCCTGGTTCCTAGAGTTGGAGGGAGGGGGTGGGTTGTCTCCTGTTAGTCCTCCTAGCTCACACTGGGACTCATTGTAATGCTGTGTGGATGGGTTGTTGGGCTCCCTGGGACTGCCCCTGGTGACTAAGGCCTGTGGGCTGGTGGGAGGAACATCTAGATCCAGCTCTCAATGCATAGCAGCCTGGGTCTCCTCAACTCCCGGTTCTAATAAGCAGCCATAGGGCCAGAAATGAGTGAGCAGGAAAAGGCCGGCGTGAGATCCTCAAAGACTGCATCTGGCATGTACCTCAGGCTGCCTTTCATCCCCCACTGTTACCTCAACCCTTGATCAGATTGGCAGCCTCTAGCTGGAATAAGGTTCATCCTCCTAGGCCCTGGTTTGTGGGGGGCAAGGTTAGTGGGGTGTCTTTGAGGCTCCTGTACCAGTTCTGGCAGAAGGCCTGGCCACTTGCTTGTAAACCCATTGCCTGGCTGGTGAGTTGGTAACTCACTAGTAGCATCCTCAGCTGCAACACCTTGGACCTGCCACTTTGCGCATGGTCATTAGAGGTTGGCCAAGGACTCTGGAGGGCAGCAGAGGGAGCGTCCCGGCTTGTGAGTGGTAGGCCATGCATAGGCTCTCAACATGACTGCTCAAGCAGGAAGAGTCCCCCCCTCACGGCCTGGTGGCTCACTAGTAGCATCCTCAGCTGCAACACCTTGGACCTGCCACTTTGCGCATGGTCATTAGAGGTTGGCCAAGGACTCTGGAGGGCAGCAGAGGGAGCGTCCCGGCTTGTGAGTGGTAGGCCATGCATAGGCTCTCAACATGACTGCTCAAGCAGGAAGAGTCCCCCCCCCTCACGGCCTGGTGGGAGGGCTACTGCAGCATTTGGTTCTGCTGAGAGACATGAACACGTAAGTCAGTGGCTGCCCCTGCAGTGGTCACGCCTGTCAGTTTGGCTTGTTCGCAGTTGAGAGACCCACTGTTGCCCACTCCCTGGGCTTCAGCCTGGTGGTGTGAGGAGCAAGACCAGGCAGTGGGCCGGGTCAGAAGCAAAGCAAAGCAGACTTGGGGCAAGCAGGCTCAGTAGTTGATGTGGGTGATTGGTTGGCAGGCACAGGATACTGCCTACGCTTTGCTGGGCGGGGGTGTGGGGGGGGGAGGAAGGTGAGTGGTGGGGGTAGGGACTGAGGAAAGAGGAAGTAAAACTGCAGGCTGGTAGGGCACACTCTTGTTCTTGCCAGCTGCCTAATTAGAGTCCTGGAGAGGCTGCCCAGAGCTTCTGGGGCCAACCACATTTTCTCAGGACCCAGCTGTGGACAGATGTAGGCCCAGAAGTGCTGGGCTATGGAATATGACTAGGTAAAAAATGAGTAGTTTTGTAGTTTTTCCTATTTCTTCCCTGGAGAACATGCAGGAAGTAGAGTCTAAAATGAGTTAATGGGCAGGAAAGGAGGTCTGAAAGTCTCCCCATTGTGTTTAATCATCAGTTTTGTGGCATACTGGCCCTTGTCCTTTCTGGCTGCAGTTTAGGGCTGTGAGTTGCCTGGTAAGAATTAATCTCAATTGTAGACCAAAGTAGGAGTAGATCAGGGAGGAGTTAGGAAAGGCTGAGGTCATGAAATTCAACAAATAATTCAGCAAACACTGAGCATTTGAGCCTTGGCAAGTGCTGGATGATAAAAACAGTCTTGTGAGGAACATGAAGAACTAAGCTACTCATCAAACAGCAAGCTCTGGAACCCCAACTGACTTCTTGTCTCTAGTCGGTAAATCTAGCTTTATTATAAATTTACTATAAACTTTATACTAAAATCACTAAAATTTGCCTTAAAAAAACAAGGCATCCCTTCCGATACCTCAAGCCCAGAGCCCACAGATGGTGGTGGAGACCTCCTTTCTGTTCCCTGGGCAACAGTTCTCTCACTGGGGCTCACCCCAAGCTGCGAACTGGGGACGCCACAGAGAAAACAATGCTGACTATAGGCAAACTTGTAAGATGGAGCTAAGGCTAAGAGTGGTTTTTTTAGAAGGGAACAAGAAAAAGCAAAAGGTATACTGTAATGTCAAGCTATACAGCAATTCACGATTCACAAGGGTTCTTCTGCACACAAACATTTAATAGGAAGGTGATGGGGAACAACAAAATGGTGTTGAGGCATCAGCCTAGGGCAGGGCTGGAGCCAGAGAGGAGCAATCAGGAGACTGGGCTAGAGGCAGCAGCAGTAATTGGGGCATTCACTACTCAGTCAACTCTGGGGCTCCTTCTTGGAACTTGGCCCTTAGTTCTCCCCCAACTTTAGCCCCTGGGCCTGTGCCTCTCCTCCAGCACGGAGGGGAGCAGGGTAGGACCTGAACTGGTCTCTCTCCAAAGGCTGCTTCAAGATGGCTGTTTAGCAGATACGAGGCTTCCCATAAGACACTGCATGGGCTTTGGGGGTTATTTGAGTAGACAATCTGACATTCATGCATTAGAGACCTGTCTGCCCTTCCTGGCATCCTTGGCCAATGCCCTTAGTCCAGCTGTCCCCATTTGGGAATAATATAGTGGGCTGTTAAGGATTCTATCTGAGGAGGCTTATATGGATTCCTAAGTGGTAAAGTGACTCTGCCAGACATTATTGACATTAGCGCTCTTTCCCTGCCTGCCAAAGGGGGACCTGGGGAGCTGGACTCCCTGCATTCTTCCAGTTCTGACTGCCTTGTAGAAGTGCTTCCCTTGAAGTGGGTTGGGGTCAGGGCTGGGTCTGGGGGTGGGGCAGGCAGACCTGCTGTTGACCATGGTGGATGCTCACAGTGCACCTGGCCCGTAAGTGGTTCTGGGATGCGATGTTTGAATCCTCAGTGGCTACTGCGCCCTTGGCCCTGGTTGTGCAAGGGAATCACGAACACAGAGACGTCGTCGTAGGACACCTGCCCTTCCTGTGTGGGACTGTCGTCCTTCCCCTGTGTGCTGTGTATCAGCATTTGGGCCAGCTCCGAGAACCTGTGGGGACCATCCTGCAGATGTACTTCGGGGCCAGAGCAAAGAGGCAAGGCCAGCCCTCAGGGAGAACCTGCACAGTGCTGGACACTGAGGACCCAAGCAATGCAGTCTAACTGTGGGGCCAACCAAGCCACAAGCCTGGGAAGGCCACAGGTTGGACCATGGGTGTCGGGACTCAGATTTTTGGGACCCACAGTCACCCCCAGGAAGCTTGAGATAGCTCTAGTCCTGGCCAACTGTTCTTAGCCGGACTCATCTGCAGTGTTGTCTTCTCAGCCATGACTTCTTCTTGGTGTTTCTGCTGGCACCAACTCAGGCCCAGGCAGATCCCCAGCAGCTATAGTACCTGTGTGGATCCTCTCGGTTGCCAGGGAGGAAGCTCCGCACCAGCCGTGCCACCTGCTCATTGGACAGGACATCCCAGAGCCCATCAGTTGCCATGACAACTACATCCTCTTCCTGCGGCTCCAGCTGGTCCATATCCAGCACAGTCACCTGCAAGTTAAGCCTAAGGTTTCCTCACTGGCTCCCTTCCCAGCTCCAGCCAACCTTGCATAGTCTGCCTTTCTGGGCAGATAGAAGCTGGTGTAGGTTATTGCCCCCTCACCTGTGGGACAGAGAGCAAGAAGGGCTTGAGCTGAATATTTGTGTCCAGGACTTTGAGCTGATGGTCTCCTAGGCCCCGGGAGACGGCCAGTGTTCCCAGTAACCGAGCCTGGAGACAAGGGAGGTATGAGGTGACAGCAAACAGCCCCAGCAGATGTACAAGTAAAGCACACAAGAGGTGAACTGTGGCCCTGGGCGCCTGGGCTGAGGGAGAAACATCCTCTGACCTCGGAGCAGTCCCTAGGACCCCAACCAAAGCTCCCCACAAGGGACAAAGGAGCTCCCACCTCTACAGGGGGCAATTTAAGAGAGATTCTTGGAGGCGCCATTCACTGACCTGCCTACCCTGTCCATGAATCAGTGGGTACTTGAGATCCGACTGCTCCACGCACTTGTAGCTCCTACCAGGAGCAAACCCAGTATCAACCGAGGCCCTACTTACCACCTCACCACCCCCAACACGGGGCCCACCCTGCCCAGGTAGAAGGGGACTGCCCCAGGCCACACAGCTGAGCCTAGACCCCAGGGCTCTCCCCACTGTGTCCCCCAACCCCACCTCGCTCACCAGCCGCTCATGTGGTGATCCCTGAACAAAACCTTCTGCCCCAAGTCATCCCCCTTCAGTCGTCGAGGGAACTCCAGTCTGGTGAACTCACCAGCCAGAAGCTCAGGGTAGAGAAAGGCCTGGAATAGGGAGGACATGCTCAGATCAGGCTCCCTCTGGTGGCCCAGGAGTTGGGGCTCCACAGCCTCCCTCTGCCAAGGGCACCTACCAGCTGCTGGATCCGCTGCCGCTCAGTCTCCGGGGTGAACTCAGAGCTCAGGGGCCGTACCTCATCCCTCCGCACCAAGATGGCCCTGGATGAGGTTTTAGAGGAGAGGGAGAAGTCTTTGGGGCAGCCTCCATCCTTATCCATAGCCTCCCTCCTGCTGGTCCCTTCTCCAACCACCAGGGGCCAGTTCTGCCTATAACAATCCCTTGCTCAAAGGTCCCCATGACTGCCTAAGGCCTGCAGGGTAAAGCCGCAGCCATCTGGCCTGGCCCCTGAGGTCTCTGTCCTCCCTGGCATCTGCTGTCCACCCTCACACTCAACAGATGCTAAGTACACAATTCAGCCAATCTTTCCCAATTCTGTCTCTCGACTTCCAGCCCCCTTTCACTGTCCCCACTGCCTCTGCTGCCTGTCTGCCCACCCCACCCTGCCCGTCCTCCGGGCTCGCTCACCTGCTATCCCCAGCATTGGCCACATACAGCTTTCCTTGCAGGGTCACAGCCACCAGGGCTGTGCAGCCACCCACCTGGCCTGAGGCCTCCAGCTCTCGCCCGATCACCTCATCCTGGAGCAAACCAAGGCTACTTTAGCTGCTGCTTGTACTGCCAGCATACCACTGTCCCCAACCCTCACCCTACAGTTTACTTCACCACTAGCAAGCATGGCAGTCCCAGCGCAAAGTCTAGCTATGACTCCAAGATCCCTGTGGTCAGGAGATCTAGACATATCCCTTTGGAGGTAGGGAAGTCCTATTCAAAACAGTGAGGAAGGGAAACCAAGGACCAACAGGGTGTGCAACAAGATGATACAGGTGAAAGCACCTACCATATAGTAGGCGCTGGATAAATGGGTGGGGTTATGATAACTGTTTAGTAACAAACCAACCAACCCAATCTTGTCCTCCCAATCCAAAGATCCAGGGTGATCACCATCATGTGCAGGGACACCCCACAACCCAGAGTCCCTCAGGTCCCTGAGGGTAAAACCTGCCCTCCTTTCCCAGCCAAAGGTCACACTCACACACTCCTGGAAGGCACTCTCCAGAGCCCCCACCACCAAGTCTTCTGCCCTAATGCCCTTTTCTTCCACAAACTGGGGGTCACTAGGGCGGATGCAGTGGCCGCTGAGGTGCATGGGGGGCTGAGTGGCCACCATGCCCTCTACCACGGCCTCCAGCTGCCGGCGTAGGCAGGAGTGCAGGGTGTTGGCAGCCAGGATAGCTGCAGCTGGACCACCGTGACCATCAAACAGTGCCCAGTAATGACCTGTCAGGAACTGCACAGGAAGGGCTTGGCGTCAGGCTCTGCCTGGCCTACCCAGTTGTCCCCTGGCTGAATGTAGGGCACTAGGGCAAGAACCTCAGTCTACAGTCCTGGCCCCAATCTTGGCCCCAGCCTGTAAAAGGGGCTCAGGCCCAGTTGCACTCACCTCCTCTGGGCACAAGGTCAGCCATTCCTGGTCCTCTTCAACCCCAAACTCAAATCTCCGGATGCACAGCTTCCCACAGGCTGCCTGATCCTCATTGAATTCAGATTTCTCTGCATTGATGATCCTGAGGCCAGGAAGTGATCAGTGACCCTTTAGGGACACACCTATGCCCCCATGGGCACAGAGAACAGATTTGGAACACAGAGAGGAACCCTCCCTCGAGGGAACCCTTCCCCCATGCTGTCCCTGACACACACCTGGACAAACAAATGCTGGAAATTTGCTAACTGTTCAGTAACCTCACAGCTAAAGCAAAACTCAGGGCCCAGCCCATCTGGAGCTTACCTGCTGACCTGGGCCGGGAGGTAAGGGCAAGTCTGCCTGTGGAGGTGTGGGGCTTCCTTGCCTACCCCCTGTCCCATCTCAGCCAGAATCCCTGTCCAATGCTGCACAGGCCATAACCCAGGGTGAGATGTGTATGTGTGTGGGGAATTCTACCCAGTGTCCCTACCTCTTTTGAAAGCCCCAGGGGGGCAGGTCCTTCCCGACCTGAGGTGGAATAGGGGAGGTTGTCAAGAGTGCGGAAGTGCCGACAAGAGGGAGATATCCACAAGGTTGGGGAGGCGGGATCCCTCACTCAGCTTGGACTGTTTTCTCGGTCAGCACGGGACCCCAGGCAGGATCACAGGGTGGGGGTCGGGGCCTCAGGATTGAAAGTCGCAGGGAGCGGGGAGTGTCGAGGGCAGGGGGGCCGCTGGGGCCGGGCACTCACTCGGCGTAGCCTGCGTTCCAAGGCAGCGCGCGGCCCCGCACCGGGCTGCGCACTGGCCGGGCGTCTGGGCGGCACGAGGCGTCGGCGGTGCCGGGGCTGGAGCCTGAGCCGCGCAGGAAGCGGGGCCGCCGGTAGGGCACGGGGCTGGCGCGGGGCCGGGGCGGCCGCGGCGCGGGGAGCGGACCCCCCGGCAGGAAGCGGCGCCGGAACCAGTCGGCGGACATGGCGCAGCGGCCCGGGGATGCCCGCGGGGCGCCGGGCTGGAGGCTGGGCCGACGGCACCGCCCGCCCGACCCGGGAGGAGGAAGCGGGGCGGGGCGGGGCCGGCTGGGCGGTGACGCCCCCAAACCCCAAACTCCCGCCGCCCCGGAGTCTGTGGGCGGCCTGGGTGCCATCCGGCTCCTCAAGCCTCCTAATCAGCCAACGCTGTTATCAACCCCACTTTACAGGCAAGAACACTGAGACCTAGATAGACGAAGACGCTGGCCCGGCTCACACAGGAGCCTGAGCAGGCTGACGTTCACCCACACGTAAGGGGAACGAGTCTTTGAGAGGGAAAAGTCCCTCCTCCCTACCCAGGGAGGCTGTAGGGGTCGATGAGAGCACACCTGGGCCTCCGGGCTGGATCAGTGTCCATGGCAGAGCCTCAGGCCTCTTCTTGCTGGGCCTGGACCTTACGCAAGGGCAAGATGGGAACAAGATGTCCTTGGAGGTGTCAGACTGACACATTGATTAAGAGTCTCAGAGCACAGTGTTCCCTCAGGAGACCTCCATGCCTCACCCACTCGGCCTGGCACTGTCCACTCCCAGATGGGGCTTGGTGGTCACCCTGGCCTTCCTTATCCTGAGAAGCAGCTCCCACCCTCAAGGCCAGGTCTCCTAAACAGCTGCCCCTCCAATCAAGATGTCCTCTCTAGACAGACAGCAGGGACCTCACTAGAGTGCAAGTGACTGATGGACAAAAGGAATCCATGGTCCCCAAAAGACTCCAACTGGTCAGAGTTCAGACTTGCGCCTAAGGGAAGTGAAAGACTTTCATCTGGGTTGGAGGCAAGATGTTGCAGCCTCTTAACTCCTGGTTACCTACCACCACTGGGTCAGCGGGGTGACTATGCAGGACTGTTATTTCCATCTCATAATGAGGGGGACTCTGAGGCCCACAGAGGGGAAGTGTCCTGACACCCAGAGCTGTGCTGTTTCCATTATGACAGTGCAGCTGACTCAGAACCCCCAGAGGGGTTTTCTCTTCCCCTTCCCTCCTCCAGGAAGGCAGGCTTGACAACTCAAAGCCCCTGAGGCCCCACAGCCCAGGGCCCAGGGAGGGCTGCAGGAGGAGTCCCTACCTTCGCCTCCACACCCAAGCCCAGCATATGCTCACTAGGCCTTACTTCCTCCAGGAGGCCAGCCTTGCCCCATTGGGAGTTCCCTCTACCCAAGGAAGAAGGTTCCTGGGGCAGGGAGCTGTGCCCAACAGCCCCTCCCTCAAATGACTCAGTTCCAGGGTAGCCTGGGAGCTGATTTACTGACCCCACCATGTGTGTCAGGCCCCAAGCACTGGGCACAGGAGTACAGTACTAATGGAAATGAGCTCCCCTGCAGTGAGGGTGGAAATCCTGGTGGATGGTGCTTGATCCAGCTGGCAAGGGGGAGGGGGAGAAGTCAGAGAAAGCTTTCCAAAGGACACCTGAGCTACAGCCTGTCATCAGGACAAAAATGGACCAGGGACCCAGAGTGGGGCAAACCCAATTCTATCAGTGGGGTAACCTCCTCATCCCACCAGCCAATGGCTCAGAAGCTATTAAAGTCTAAAACTAGTGGAAACAATGCAAACAGTTTATTCCCCAAACTCACCATCTTGGACTCCCCTGGGTAGATGAAGATCTTGTCCTCTAGGTGTATTCAGAGAAGCTCCTGGCAGCCAGGTGTCACAGGTGGTCTGTTGCCCAGCTTAACTATTTTAAGTTTTCAGAGCCATGTGGAGCCCTATGGCAATCCCATTTCCCTGTTCCAAGCTGACCTAAGTGTTCCTCCAGTGCTACCAAGGCTCCTCTGGCTCCCTAGGCTCCTGGGAGCCTCTACTCTTGCCTGGATCCCAAGCCTGACTCTTGGTTTACTCCGTCATTTTGCTGAAGCACATCCTCTAACAACTTTCCAAGAAAGGATGACTGGGTCCTGGTAATTTTCTGGGTCCTTGCAATTCTGAAAGGGTTTGTATTCTGCCTTTTGTTTTTGTTTTTTGTTTCTTGCGGTATGCGGGCCTCTCACTGTTGTGGCCTCTCCCGTTGCAGAGCACAGGCTCCAGACATGCAGGCTCAGCAGCCATGGCTCACGGGCCCAGCTGCTCCGTGGCATGTGGGATCTTCCCGGACCGGGGCACAAACCCGTGTCCCCTGCATCGGCAGGTGGACTCTCAACCACTGTGCCACCAGGGAAGCCCTGCCTTTGCTTTTGATTGATATTTTGGCTCAGAATTCTTTCTGACTGCTCTGTTCATTGTTTTTTGGCTGTTGCTGCTACCGAAATCCAGTGCCCCTGTCATTCCCAGGCCTTTGGATTGGCTTCTGTTTGCCTTTTTTTCTCTCCAGAAGCCTCCAGGCTCTTCTGTCTCCAGTGTCTGAAGTTGTAGGTGAGGTTCCTTGGGGTGGGTCTGTCTTCATTTCTGGGTAGAGTCCTCCCTGGAGACCATGCAACTCCTCACTTTCCAGTTATACCCTTATCCTGACACCCTTCTCAACTGCTCGAAGGAACCCAAGCCTGCCCCCTCCTGGCTGGAGACCTTGCCTCAGCTAACTCAGTCAGCATGTGAGGGATGGAGGCGGGGGAAGGAGCAAGCTTAGAAAAAGGAAAAAGATTTTTATGCTATGTTTTTTTCATTCACCATGAAAATAGCTTTTGTTGAGTCCCATTTCTGTTCTTGACAAGATTTATTTTAGATTTAATTCAAAAACTTTAATACATTTCACTATGGCTCAAACAGTTCCCCCCTCTGAAGACAACCAATATTACTAGTTTCTTGTGGATCCTTCCAGAGATGTCAGGGGTATTCTGTGTAAGTTCAAGCAAAAAAACAAACAAACAAAAAGAACATGTGAGACCAGAAGTAACAAGTGCTGGCAAAAGAATGTGGAGAAAAGGGAACTGTTGTGTATTGTTGTGGGGATGTAAATCGGTGTAGCCACTATGGAAAACAGTATGGAGGTTCCTCAAAAAATTAAAAATAGAACGACTATATGATCCAGCAATTCCACTTCTTGATATTTATCTGAAGAAAACAAAATGACTACCTCAAAGATATCTGCCTCCACCATGTTCACTGCAGCATTATTTACAATAGCCAAGACATGGAAACAACCTGTGTGTCCATCAATGAATAAATGGGTAAAGAAAGTTTATATATGTGTGTGTATGTGTGTGTGTGTATATATATATATATATATATATAATATAGAATCTATATATTATATAGAATATATTTATTATATATTCTATACACTATATAGAATACATGTTTAATTTATTATATATATTCTATATATTTTATATTTTCAGCCATAAAAAAAGAAATTCGGCCATTTGTAACAATGTGGATGGACCTTGAGGGCATTATGCCAAGTGAAATAAGTCAGAGAAAGACAAATACTGCTCGATCTCTCTTATACGTGGAATCTACGAAACGGAAAACAAAACCCAAACTCATAGATACAGAGAATAGATTGGTGGTTGCCAGAGGTGGCAGGGCAGGAGGTGGTGGGAGGTGGAGGCAAAATGAACGAAGGGGGTCAAAAGGTACAAACTTCCAGTTATAAGATACATAAGTCCTGGAGATGTACTGTACAGCATGATGACTATAGTTAACAATACTGTATTGTAGGGCTTCCCTGGTGGCGCAGTGGTTAGGAATCCACTTGCCAACGCAGGGGACATGGGTTCGAGCCCTGGTCCGGGGAGATCCCACATGCTGCGGAGCAACTAAGCCCGTGCACCACAACTACTGAGCCTGCACTCTAGAGCCCACGAGCCACAACTACTGAGCCCATGCTCCACAAGAGAAGCCACTGCAATGAGAAGCCTGCGCACTGCAACAAAGAGTAGCCCCTGCTCGCCACAACCAGAGAAAAGCCCGCGTGCAGCAACAAAGACCCAATGCAGCCAAAAAAAAATACTGCATTGTATATTTGAAAGCTGCTAAGAGAATAGATCTTAAAAATTATCACAAGGAAAAAAACTTGTAACTCTGTGGTAATGGATATTAACTAAACTTATTGCAGTAATCCTTTCACAATATATATATATATATCAAATCATGTTGTACACCTTGGACTAATACAATGTTATATATCAATTATATCTCACTTTAAATAAATGGATAAATAAAAATTATATAGATATATATGTTAAATCTTTCCTCTTCCCCTCCTTTTCTTTACCCAAATGATAGCATACTCTACACTGTATACTGCACCTGAAGTTTTCACATAAGGTACCTCTATCTTTTTGTATCAGTCCTTGAAGAGCTGCCTTGTTCCTTGTGAGGGCTGCAGAGCAGTCTCTGCAAATATGCAGACTTTATGTAGCTAGCCCCCCAATGATGAACATTTAGATTGTTTTCAATTTTTTGCTTTATAATTTTTTGTGTGGGCATATTAGTAGGATCAGCCTAGTAATGGAACTGTTGTGTCAAAGGCATTCATTGTTCATAGCAACACTATTCATGATAGTCAAAAGATGGAAACAGGGGCTTCCCTGGTGGCGCAGTGGTTGAGAGTCCGCCTGCTGATGCAGGGGATACGGGTTCATGCCCTGGTCCGGGAAGATCCCACATGCCGCGGAGCGGCTGGGCCCGTGAGCCATGGCTGCTGAGCCTGTGCGTCCAGAGCCTGTGCTCCGCAACGGGAGAGGCCACAACAGTGAGAGGTCCACGAACCTCAAAAAAAAAAAAAAAAAAAAGATGGAAACAACCCAAATATCCATCAACTGGATTAGTGGATAAACAAATTGTAGCATATATGCACAATGGAATACTATTCAGCCATAAAAAGGAATGAAATGCTGATACATGCTACAAGGTAGACGAACCTCCAAAACGTTATAATAAGAAGCCATATTCAGGACTCCCCAGGTGGTCCAGTGGCTAAGACTCCATGCTGCAAATGCAGGGGGCCCAGGTCCGGTCCCTGGCCAGGGAACTAGATCCCACATGCTGCAACTGAGAGTTCACATGCCACAGCTAAGACCTGGTGCAGCCAAATA